TTTTTTTTTCCCTGACTGGTGGGCAGGCCACCGACCGGGCGGCCCTACTGGTCGGCTGCTATACGGTCGGCGGTCGGGGTCGGCGGTCGGCAGGGATGCAACCCTGGTCCTGTTGATGTTCTCTTCTGTTCTCTTTTGCACGAACAGGGGGGTGGAGATCAGCAGAGGAGGGGAGCTACAGTGTAGTGCCAGGGAAGTTCTTGATGAATCAATAGTCTAATTATTATTAATTAACAATCAATACTTATCCATTTGGTTTGCAAAGTCTTGGATTCTGCAGCTGGATTTATCAACCCCATACCTCCATAGCTGGATTTATCAGCCCCAGACGGAGCTTCAGACCTCCATTACTTGATTATTTATCAGCCCCAGACCTCCATAACTTGATTATTTATCAGCCCCAGACCTCCGTAACTGGATTTATTAGGCCCAGATACCTAAGATTTTGAATTGAAGGATATCAAATAAAGGCAAATACTCTCTCGTAGATCTGATTTCATTGGAACCTCAGTAACTCACCTGGAGATGAGAAGTGAAGTGAACGAAAAGATTAGACCCAGTTATCCCAAGGATCAAATGTGGACAGGGATATTTCAGACTTCAAAGAAGAATCTGGAACACTTCCCAGAGTACAATCTGAGTGATGGCGTATTAATTCCAGAGGATATATAGTCCTGGAGGGGTATCATGACACAGGTGGTCATTTTGGCTGGTGTAAAACCTGTGCCAATGTCGTGGAACAGTTTTTGTGGCCTGGATTGGAAGATGATCTGTTCTGTTTGCCAACGAAATAAGCCTTCCCATCAGCATCAGGATTTATTGGACCTCTTCCTACTGCCAAAGACCCAGAGAATCGATCTCTACTGACTTCACGACTCTTGCAAACAGCTTGCATGAGAATACTCGGAATAGCCATCCAGGGAACTCAGAAATGGTCATTGTAGGCAGGTTCTCTAAGTAAGCATTGTTCATTGTATTGCCTGCAGATGCCCGACTAGAATTTTCACCGTGAAATTTCAGATGCATTGGATATAAAAAATTGGGTTCCTGAAGAAGATTGTCTCTGATTGAGATATGACAACTGCAAGGAATGCGCAATCCAAATGACAACAAACCAAATTGCAGCATTCTGCAGAAGTCCAGCTAACTTTGAGCCGAAACTGAAAGCAGAATCACACCAGATAAGATTGAGCAAATCATTGAAGTCTCATGATAATGGAAGCCCCTTCTCGGCAATCCAAATGACAACAAACCAAATTGCAGCATTCTGCAGAAGTTCAGCTAACTTTGAGCTGAAACTGAAAGCAGAATCACACCAAATAAGATTGAGCAAATCATTGAAGTCTCATGATAATGGAAGCCCCTTCTCGGCTCTAGAAACCAATGTTCGACAATGTAGCTCTCGTACTTGGCACTCAGCGCCCAGACTACCGACAGACACTCCCACAGATCTACACTCTCGACAGCGACAACAGGTCCGGAATGAGGATCAACAGCCTGGTGCTGCACGAAGACTGTGAGTGAACAGGCCGCTTCAACAAAACCAGGCGAGTGCCTCCTCACACTGCTCAACCTTTCTCATGCCCGACCACAGTCCTCTTGCCCGAACAGGCCAGCGCCGGTACCGCGCACGATTTTGGGGGCAGTGTGCACTTGCAACGTATAGCAAGAACTTTTTGCGCACTGCCCCGGTAGGTAGACTGGACGCCGTCAGTAGACATCGACTAGACTTTCTAATCTATGGCGACTGGACTCTAGACGGTCTAAGCTACTTGACGGCTTTGTGGACTGCCCTACTCTACCCTACTCTAAGCTCTGCGTAAACAGGCTAATCTACTCGACGACGTTGTGGGCTGCCCTGCTCTACGCTACTCGGGGCTCAGACTCCTGATGAGTTGGTGAAAGTCTGACGAAACAGTCTGGCACAGTGCTCTCTCTCTCTCTCTCTGTGACACGCACACATGCACAGAAAGAGATTGTTCCTCCTAAGATTTTTGCCGTGCTGGAGATTGGGCTGTGCATCGGGACGGGCTCTGCATCGAGAAGGTTGGACACTGATGCTTGGGCTGTGCATTAGAGCACGCCAGCATGCCTAAAGGTGAGTTATTAGGTGTTTTTTGTTTGTGTGTGTGTGCGTGTGCGACGCACGTCGCTCGACGCTGTTACTCCACTATATGCTGTGACGCTCGACTTCAACTTTGCTACTCTATTCTACGGCTCTACTCTATGCTGCGGCGCTCGACTTGAATGCTACTCTGCTCTGCACTGCAACGGCATGCTCAACGGTGTTCGCTACTCTACGGTGTGCGAGAGAGAGCGGGATAGCGGGAGCGGGAGCGGCACACGGTGGAGAGGGGGAAGCGGAGGGGGCGATGGGCGTGGGATCAAGCACGCTCGAGAGAGAGAGAGAGAGAGAGAGAGAGAGAGAGAGAGAGAGAGAGAGAGAGAGAGAGCTCAATCTAACTAGCTGTGCGCATCCCCCCTCCCCCCAACGATCAAGTGTAGTATCTGCTTCAATCAGTTTCATAGCTGATCTTCTCCCATGATCAAGGGTAGTGTCTGCTCCGTTCAGTTTCATACGTTATCCGTGGTCTATCGAGACCTTTTTATTTTATAAAAGAAATAGAAAAGCACGAGAGAGAGAGAGAAGAGAGAGATGGTTTAAATGCACACGAGTAAGACATGGGAGAGAGAGAGAGAGAGAACCCGTTGTAACCAACTGCGCATCCC